AACAATCTAAGCAACAGAGGAGAGGCTACCTTAAATGTCCTCTTCTGATAATGAGATTGATGACTAATTCGTATGCCATCGTAAAGACTTCATCCAGCAGCTGGTGAAAGTAGAAGCAGACACCCACAGCTAAACCTTGAACTGAACTGGAATCTAGTTGCAGAGAAGGAGGACTGATGAGCAAAGGGGTCCAGACCAGGCTGGTAAAACTCACAGAAACAGCTGGCCTGAACAAGGGAGAGCTCTTGGTCCCTAGACTGATATCTGGGAAACCAGCATGGAACTGATCCATACCCCCTGAATGTGGGTGTCAGTGAGGAGACCTTGGAAATCTATGGTGCCCCTTCTAGTGGATCAGTAATTATCCCTAGTATGGGAATTGGCTCTGGGAGCCCATTCCACATGGAGGGATACTCCCTGAGTCTAGACACAAGAGGGTTGGCCTAGGCCCTATCCCAAAGGATATGACAGACTTTGCAGATCCCTATGGAAGACCTCATCTTCCCTGGGGAGCAGATATGGTATGGGATAAGTAGGGTATTAGTTGGTGGGGGTGCAGGGGAGGAAAGAAGGGAGAGGTTTCTGGGATTAAGATGTAAAATAATCTTCTTTCTAATTAAAATAAAAATAAATAAAAAGAAAGATGTATAGCTAAGATCTAAATAGTACAAAGTAAGCTAAAGTTCAACACATTTTGTATTTTAGCACATGTACTAAGTGTTGCTACTGGAAAATTTTAGGCATCAAAGTATTTGATATATTATCAATATATGAAGTATCTACTGAGGCTGATGAGATGGCTCAGTGGTCAAAGGCATTTGCATTCAAACCTGATAACCTGAGTTTGAACACCAGGACTCTGGAAGAAGAAAACTGACTCTTGGCCAAAGAGGTAGCTTTTGACCTCTACATGCACACTCTGGGATGTACAGGCATTTGTCCACACACACACACTCACACACACACACACACCCACACACACACCACACACAGACACACACACACACACACACACACACACCATACATACACACACACACTCACACACAGACACACAGAAATGTAAAATAAATATTTTTAAAAAGAAAGTATCCTAATAATTGTAGGACTAATTGTATGTCAGTGTGAAGTATTGTTATAAATATGTTTAAGAAATGATTGAGACAATTTGTACAACAATTTATGTGGAGAAGTTAAATCTCTTGTACAATTATCTTTTAAAAATATTTCTGTGTGCACATGTATATGTATGGAAGACACAGATTGGCACTGGGTGTCTTCTTCAGTCATTCTCCACCTGTCATTTGAGACAGTATCCTAGTGAATATGTATCTTAGTGATTTGGCTAGACAAACTAGCCATCCAGCTTGAGCTCCAGGTATGCTTGTCTCTACCATAGTAACACTGGAACTATAAGCATGTACCTAGATTTTTATATGGTAGATGGGGGATATGAACTTGGGCCTTCATGTTTATGTGGTAAGTGCTTTACCAATTGAGCCAATCCCAAATCACCTCATATAAATTTTTAGGCACATCTGACAACACATATATAAAACTATCATAGAATTATACATAGTTGGTCAAGGTACCAATGGGAATTTTGATGTCCATGAGTTCTTTGTATGTTATTCCTTATAAGTTAATCATAGAATGGTTTACTTATTTGAAAACAAGTCATAAAAATGTATACAAATCATAATCAATATACACATGTAAGTATTAATGCAAGTTTTGCTTATGATTAGTATAGTCACTATTGCAAATTTTTGCAAAGAGGTTTCCTTGTTTTACTAGAAGATTCACTAGAAATTATTGGCTTTGTGGTAAAGTATTGAACTAGAGAATATTAAACATATAGTAGCTGATATCTTGAGGTGGAGACACTTTCCCTCTCTGACTTTAACAACAGACAGCTTAAAATTTGGAGGAAAGAGTCAAACTCTATGGTGATTAGTTTCCCTTTCTGAGCCTAGGTTCCCTACTTAGGGTTAGGTTCTCACTCTAGAAATTCAGTGTAGAAATACCATAGGAAGAAATCAACTCATGCATTTATGATATTGACAAAAACTATGTGTCTCTATGCCAGCTCACACCTTTGTTAATATGTTAACAATAGTGTATTTGACATTTTAATTTAAATCAAAGAGAAAACATTGATAACCTGGTATAAAAGAAAATGTGAGATTTCTGGTTTGCATATTAAAGTGATAATAAATAATGAAAATAGTAATCATTAATTATTGCTATTTTAATTTGGTTTTTTTATTTTTAACCTAAAATATCATTAGTTTGAATTTTTATCCTAATCTCACATGCTCATCTCATCATTAATTGAAGAAAGTTTTATTACATTCCTGGCAATTTATTTCTATTCCCAGCCTGATTCACTCAGGTATGTTTTCTGCTCTTGTCTTCTTTGAGTTTGACATTTGGGGTTGAGGTGGTATTTTAGTTCTTCTTCCATATATCTATACATTTTTCCTCCAAGAAAAGGAAAGGTGTTATTATAGAACATTGTCAGTCACTAAAGGTACAAAATATGTAGTTTTGTGTATGTTATAATACTATAATAAGTATTTACTGAGCAGTTATTAAAGGAGCGGATGAATAGAAGGGGGATTCACATGAAAAAACAAACATGTAACTAGAAAGCTTTGTGGATGGAAGCTGTATTAAATTGAATATTATTAAATCATGTACATGTTTAACATGATAGGAAATCATTTTCCTTTCCCTTAAACTTCTTTTTCAACCAATTCTGCTATAGACGCCTATACCAAAGCTGAAGTGATTTATTCTTGGACTCTTGGGAAGAACAAATCTGTGGAAGTAGCACAGGATGGCTCTCGCCTGAATCAATATGACTTGCTTGGCCATGTTGTTGGAACAGAGATAATCCGCTCTAGTACAGGTATTGGTTTGTTTATTAAACTTCTGTGTTATCTGTACAATATGCCAGCATTGTATTTATGACTTATTTAACCTTTGAAACAGTTTTGAGATTCAAGTGGAGTCAGCAAATTAGTTTCTTCACTACATCACCCTCCTTAGAGAAAACATTTTTTCACAAAACCTGTGAAGTCTTCTCAAAAGCTCAGCTTTGGGTAAAAAAGCAGTTTTTGACAGACTTGCTCTGTAGTATGCTATTTGTCCATTTGAATACTACCTTATTCTAGGGGTGCAATGAAAATGGAAATTTACTTGAAATTAAAAAAAAAAACCACAAAAGAAAAACAGAGTAATTGGGAAAATGGAATAGATACTAGGTCCCACATGTCACATAAAATACTTTGTGCTATTATAGTGTGGAGGTGTTCAGCATTATTTTTCAAACGCTAATCTCTGTGAGTCCACAATGATCAATAACGTTTGATACCCAGCCATTCTTTCATGATTTGAACATCATTTGATTATGACTTCATGATGTTATAGCATGCTCATTTTGTCTGTTCTTCATTTTAAGACTAGGAGAACGTGGAACATGTTAGAAATGTCTTTGCCCAGGGCTGTGCATTTCCTATCCCCAGGAGTCTATTCTGCACCAATTAATTGTGTTCCCAATTCTGGTCCTCTTCTGAAACACCTACTTGACATCAAATTTGAAAATCAATCTTACTAGTTATCCAAGCAGCCCAAGATATCATTTCATGGTTTAAACCACTGTTTCAATATTATCACATGGAAAATATGTGTTCATAACAAGAACAATAAAATTGCATGAAAAAAAGCCAGTAGAGAAAATTTGGATACAACCAACCCACCAATGTATTTATAGGCTCTGTATCAGTAAATTCAGTCAAGTGAAGAATGAAAATCTGTCTTAATTGTAGGCTAAACTATGTACATATTTGTCATTCTCTATACAATGTAGTGTAAGAATTATTTGTGTTGTATGTCATATTTTAGTTGTAAAGAACAGTATAGCTGAAAATAGACTTTATATACATATTTTGCAATTTTATGCAAGAGACTAGAACATTTGGGGATTTTGTATTAATAGGGGCTCCTGAAACCAGTCCACCAAAATTACAGACTTACAGTTTAACTCTTTAACTGCACTACCTAGAAAAATCCAGAGAGTGGAGAGATACCTCAGTAGTTAAGAGTAATGGCTGCGCTTACAAAGGACTTGGGTTCTCTACTAATATATAGACAGTGGCTTATAACCCTGAAACACAGTTGCAGGTGATCTGACACTATCTTCTGACTTACCCAGGCACCCACAAGCTCATGGGAGTGCGCACACACACACACACACACACACACACACACACACACACACATGAGATATGGAGAGATGGAGATAGAGAAGCAGACAGACACAAACATAGAAATCAAAATAGAAAAATAGAAAATTTTTCTAAAAAGATTTAATTGACTTGTGCATGTCACTATATGGAATTCCCTTTGCACACTGAAATGTATCAGTATTAAAGGACCAATACCATTTATTCTTTTGCATATTTTGTGCATTATTCTTTTTATAGTTTTCATTCATTAGATGTATAGGAGGCAAGCAAAATGCACATATAATTTAGAACCAATATAGTACAATGGTAATAAAGGCATTAACACTTGTTTTGTTTACTTTAAACAAAACTAAAATATTAAAATTAGAATTCTGGATAATTATTTGTATTTTTCTGTGGAAAATGTAGCTTTAAATTGCTGAAACTCAGCAAAATAATAGTTTCATTTGTAATGGCACTGTGCAGGGCTCATTATTTGCTTAACCAATTTTCTACCATTATGCCCTGTGTTTAATTCTATTAACAATATTTGTGTAGACCCTCCTTTTCCAGACAGCATTTTGCTACAGTGTAATTATCTGTCTATGATACAGACAGAACACTTTTTAAAAATAACACATGTTGGCAAACTGCTGCTTTGAATATTTAACCAAATTCCCTTTCCCACTATCCCTGTATGAGCATGCCAGTTTTCCTTTTTCCTTAGCAATATTGGTATTATGAATTCAATTATTCCCACCGATGAAGATATGTCAAAATATTAACCGTATCAATGTGGAATGCTACCTTATTTGGGAATAGTGTCATTATAAATGTAGTCACTGACGATGAGGTCATATTGCAGTAATGTAATATCATTGGTATTCTTCTGAAAAGGGGAACTTGGACAGAGTGAAGAATGAGCATGAAAGACTATGAACATAAACGCTGTGATTAGGTGGATGTTTCCATAAGAGAAAACAAGTTGAGATCACTAAGAGGCAAGGAAAGAGTCTCTTACAGGTTTTAAACAGAGTCAGGCTCTACTTATAACTTCATTTCAAACCTCTGAGTGATACAGTTGTCTTGTTTTAACATATCCAATATCTGGAAAATTTTTTGGCAACTTCAACAAATTACTGTAGCCAGAAAATCTTGTTTTATTTTTCTTAATAATGAAGAAATTAACATATACATGGTGATGAAATTGATAATGAATAATTGTTGAGCATGAAGTGTGTTCAAGACATAGCACTAAGGACATATAGTAACTTATTTTAACCTTGAACAACACTGAGAAGTAAGCAGTATTGTACCAGGTATCTGGATAAAGAAATCATGGATCAGAATAATTCAGTGCCTTAAGCACTTATGTTTTACTTCTCTCCATGTTTATAATGTTCTTATACTGTTATATCTTTTTACTTATTGAGCTAGAACATAGATTACTTTGTGTCAAGTATATGAATGCATAGTACACTTCACTCAACCACTACCATTCTGCTCCTCTACGAGATTCAATATGTCTTTATGGCTGTGTGTAACTGTCACCTATGTTTCATATGCTATCATTCCTTTTGTCTTTGTTTCTTTGTCTTCTTTCTTTCTAGAAGTTTAAAGAGTACATTTAGTTACTCTGATGGTCACAATGAGCACTAATGATAGCACATCCTAATCCCAGAATCTTTGAGCATGTTAGGTTATGAAGGTAGAATTAAGGTTTCTTATATGGTATTTAAATAAAGATATAGTCCTGGATTATGCTGGTAGGACCAACATAATGACAAAAGTTCATTCATAAACGTCAGGCAGGCAAGAAGACCAGTCATAACAGAAAAGCAGGGTTACCAAGCAGGAAATGCTGGTAGCCACTTCCCTAGAATCATCAGAAAGAATGCAGTTTAGGCAATGTTATATATGAGTAACAAGATATTACATGTTTTCTCATAAATATACATATTTTTATTTTATACATATCACTCAAATGTATTTAATGAAAGCATGGGGTTTTGAAAATCTGGTTTGAGATTTCTGACCTTCTGAAGTGTGAGAGCATAAATTTGTTAAAGGACTGATGAAGAAACAAATATAGCTCTCTGTTCATCATTAAGATTTTAAAAATTGGTATTAGAAATTTAAACAGAGCAAGAAACACACAGAGAGAGGAAATATTAAGTAATATGTTTTGTTGGGGTTGAATTACTTCTTTACTGGGCATCATCCATTTTAATTTAATCACTGCTCTGTAGAAAGAGCCTGTGAAGGTTTTGGGGGAAAGGTGTCCTGGCTTTTTCTTTGGACAGAAAAAAAGCAAATATCTCAGTAGCTCACTGTGCCTGTGCTGCGCTCCTCTATTCACTTATTCTTGACCTGTTTTCTGTCTTAGTGGTTCATACTTGTTTTTTTTTTTATCATTTAAACACTGCATTTGTCATGTACTTAGGTCCATTTCTAAATTTCGTTTTCTCTTTTGCTTTTTCTGTTTCTGAATCAAATTATTGAATAAGAGTAGATATACATTTTACAGCTACCTTTAGCTATCATACTATATATATATTATGTGTGTATGCATATATGTAGTAATTCTAGGGAAATAGGCAAGCAACATTAACCATGGTTACTCATAGCAAATTAAAATAAGATGGGTGAGTAGGGAACATTTTGGTATACATACTTTCATACCTTTTTATTTAAGAACTATGGAAATATTATTACCTCACATAAATGTGGCAGTAATTCTCTTGTAAATATTGAATATGCCCCTCCATGGAGGTTCCATTATATGACTAGGAACATTATGGGTAAAGAAGAGACTTCCACTCCATAGGTGTTCTGTTCCATATGGTTGAATTTCTCTCCAAATGCTGTCAGTCTCCTCTCCACTGTGATGTAATTGCAGAGTTTTTATGTCTTGGTTCAAGATTCAAATATCTGTAAAATAAATGAATGAAATTCTTCAAGCTTGTTGACTAGTTATTGACACCGGTTTCTATTTAATTACTGACTCAATTTTCTCCCATTTGGAAAATTATTATATTGGTTATTTAGGATACTTAAGACTCATATTTTTTCCAATCACTTTTAGATGTTTAACCTTTTGCTACAACATCAGTTTATTGTAATTCCAATTGTTTATGCTGTGTCTATGTGTAGAGAGATCCAAAAACAGGAAACTGAAAGAAAGAGACATAAAGGAAACACAGAGACATGGAAATTAAAAGACTACAGAAGGCAATATAAAGAATCAGGAATAGGTGTAGGGAGAAGAAAAAATACCAGATATGGATTTAAGGCAGGAATACTGCTTTATTTGTATATTGAGTTAATTTGTGAAGATATTTTGTTAAAATCCTCTATGTATTTCATAACTCTCAATAGCTAAGTTACTTATAATATAGCTTCAAATATTTCACATGTAGCTCAGGTAATGTTAACGGGCTGGAATGAGAAAGCAGGGGAAAATTCTCCAAACCACTTAAATAATCATTTTCATAAAAGCAAAGAGAGACAGCAATAGAGGCCAAAAGAAGGGAACATAGCAATTCATCTCAACATTGATTTGGTAAGCTGTTCTACATTTCAAGCTTAAATAATAGATAATAATTAATTTATAAACATATTATCATATTGACTATTTCACATACAACACAGATGGTACTTAAGCTTAACAAGATAGATCTCACCAGTGAAAATAGAATTAAAGGAAATGGAAAATTTTCCCAATTTCATGAAAGTCTGAGTTCTCACTTTGACAGAAAAAATATGGAGAGATGATGGAAAATGTTGGAGATATATCTGAAAAGAACTTGTCAGTGAATTTGTACAATGGATTAATTTCCTAAATATCTGTGAATTGCTAAAGTGGCCTTCCATTTTCCTCTTGTCTTTTTCTAGTGGATTCTGATAATCTGAAAAAATTTTAAAAGGCTGAAATAAATGATGGCTCCTCAACCAGGACAAGGCTTTAATTTTCAGTAAGAAGATGGCTTTTGCCATTTTTAAAACAGAAAACAAAGCCAATAGTGAAGAAAGGGGAGAAAAGCTTGAAGATAATATATTCAGTTATTTAAAACAAATAGTTGATTTGATGAACTTTTCACAAGTACATTTATCTTTATTTCCAGATTCATAGAGTGTAACTGTGAATATTAAATAGTATATACTAACATTAATATATCAATTGCATTTTATGTATTAAATATTTCACATGAATCAGGGATATAAGTATGGGGAAAATGGTCAAGCTAATTAGAGTCCAACTCTTGGGAGAAATAAGTCCTCAACTCCTTATCAATAGGAAAGGGTGAAGGAAGGGTTGTGGAAGAGGATAATAAAAGTGTTGGAAGGAGAAGAAGGGACGAAAGGAAAAAGGAAGTCGGGTATATGGAAACAAAGAGACAAAGGGACAATATGTGGCCAAACATTGTGAATATTTTAAATTTGGGCTCATTAACCTGAGAACTACAAGTTTTTGAGATGGGATAATCTGTTGACAGAATCCATTTGGAATAGAATAGGGGAGAAAGTAAAATGTCAAAATTCCTATTAGATGTTCAAATAGTTATGCTAAATAAAGATCTAGCTACAGATGCACACCCCAAGGCTCTTATAACAAGTTATTATCACCTTGGTGGTTTAAAACAGACTAAATTTCTTGTCTCTCATATTTGGTTAGGATTCTGAAATCAAAGCATCGCCAGGATTATTTCTATTTAGAGACAGTGAGGAAGAACCTGATCTTTGCCTGTTTGTAGCTTCTACTGATGGCCAAACATTTTTCTGCTGCTTGGACATCATGCTAGTCTCTGTCCCTGCTATTCATGGAAAATAGAGGGTTCACCTATGTCAAATGCTATTGAAAAATACAGAAGACTGAAAATTAACGATTGGTGTTAACTGAGTAATAATTGCTATGGACTGTTGTTTACAACCTATCAGCAACTCTGTTAAAGAGCATGAGATTATATAGGTTAGTTTAAATTCTGCTGTGAGAACTTTAAAACAATTTATATCTTCATATATTGGTGTGTGTGTGCTTGCCTGTATGTACATCATGTGCACTCAGGGCTCACAGAGGCCAGACGAGAGTGTAAGCTCTTCTAGAGATGGAATTTCAGGAGGTTGTGTGTTTCCTAATGTGGGTACTGAAAACTGAACCTGGATCCTCTGCAAGAACCTATGCATGCTCATCATAACTGATCCTTCTCTCCAGCCCTCATGTGATCTTTTGGTTCTAAACAAATAATGTATGTAGGATACCAAAGCATGATGATGAAAAGAATAAACTGTGAATACAACCTATGTGATCTTCATTTTGGAGCACCACTAGTTACTAACTGGGTGCCTGTGCGAGGTGTTCTGCTTTGAGAACTTTAAAACCATTTATCTATTGTTGTTTGAGTTTCTTGACTTGCAAAATGACGACCACAGGAGTTCACACACTTCATAGGGCCATTGTGAAATTAATTATTTTTAATAAAGTGTGTAGGAAGTACTTTCTTTATGAAAACATCATTATTACTTATTACTTAAGTAAAAACATGATTTGAATAAACTTGTCAGATTTGCTTTGCACAAGTTGTTGTAGCATATTGTTAGTGTATCTTTCACACCAAATTACTATTACATTATTTTCATTATTACTGAGCTCAAGAGTTCGGAAGGCATTAGGATGTCTTAACTTGAATGTGAGATTGAGGATCTCTGGGAACAAAACTGAGGCCCAAGTTGCTTTAACAATATTTGTATGACTCCATGCTGCATAATTTTATTCTCTGTCCAGGAGAATATGTCGTCATGACAACCCACTTTCATCTGAAGAGAAAAATTGGCTACTTTGTCATCCAGACCTACTTGCCATGTATCATGACTGTCATTCTGTCACAAGTGTCTTTCTGGCTTAATAGAGAATCTGTCCCTGCCCGCACAGTCTTTGGTAAGTGCTTCATGGAGAATGGGGGAGAAGTACTTGTATAGTCCTAGTAGAGGTAAGAAAGGCAGAGGAATGGACTGCTACTGCAGAAAAGGATGCTATCCAAGCCCAGTAGCAGTAATGGCATTGTCAGATGCTGAGATTTCAAGCAACCAAATTCTTTCTTTTTCTTTCTCTCCATTTTTAGTTAAATTACATTATGAGACTGACACAATGCCTACTGCATGCACTAAGGAGGTGCCTGTTTATTTAAATTAGAAACAAGATTATTTTACATGTCAATCCCAGATCCCTTTCCCTCCCCTTCTCCCCTGCTGCCCCCCAACTAAAACCCTACCTATCACATACACTTTCTGCTGTCCAGAGAAGATGAGGCCTTCCATGGGGGGGGGTCTTCAGAGTCTGTCATATCCTTTGGGAGAGGGCCTAGGCCCGCCCTCATGTGTCTAGACTCAGGGAATATCACTCTATGTAGAATTGGCTCCCAAAGTCCATGCCTATGCTAGGGATAACTACTGATCTACTACAAAAGGCCCCATAGATTTCCAAGGTCTCCTCACTGACACCCATGTTCATGAAGTCTGGATCAGGCCAATGCTGGTTTCCCAGCTATCAGTCTGGGAACCAAGAGTTCCCCCTTGTTCAGGCCAGCTGTTTCTACGGGTTTCATCAGCCTGGTCTGGACTCCTTTGCTCATCACTCCTCCTTTTCTGCAACTGGATTCCAATTCACTTCAGTGATTAGTTGTGGGTGTCTGCTTCCACTTACACCAGCTGCTGGATGATGGCTCTAGGATGGTACATAAGTCAGTCATCAATCTCATTATCAGGGGAGGGCATTTGAGGTAGCCTCTCCTCTGTTGCTTAGATTGTTAGTTGGTGTCATCTTTGTACATCTACAGACATTCCCCTAGCTCCTGATTTCTCTTGAAACCTATAATGGCTCCCTATATTTTGTTATCTCTTATCTTGCTCTCTTCTGTTCTTCCCCCAACTCAA